AACCTCAAAACATAGTAACATAATTTATTTATATAGATATAGGCAAAATTAACTCCCACAAAGCTATCCCACTGAACTATCCCTGTTGTCCAGTAATCGCATCTCCACCTCTCAACTCATGATCTACTCCCACATAAATATGATCATCGCAGTCCCATTCACATGGAAAAATAGGGATAAGTATTAAATCATTTGATATAATAAAATAGATATAGAAGTAATAATTACATATTATCATCAATTACAAATCATCTATACACTAAGACGTCTTCCGAAAATCTACCTTAACTATGCTCAAACTCAAAGGCTATCATCTGTGGGCAGATTGTGATTGGCACTCATAGTACCATTCTGACCATCCTTCACACAGAGTGGGATTACTGGCGCACTTCATCACTCATTCTGGAGTACCTCTCCAAGCGCATCACTAATCATCCCCCATCGACTTCTCACCACCTGATCTCGTAGTCTACCTGACCCGACCAATCAGTGAAGTCTGGGACCTCATTTGAATCCTCCAATATATTTAATACACTAATATACTCTGTACCACCCTAGGTACCATTCAACACAACAACAATCATTCACATCTATCGGATTCTGGATCACCTGTCCTCACGACTCATTCGGGTCAATAAATAATAGTACTTGACTGATTCTGGGTACCAACCATCCGGCTCGGTCTAGCCAATACATAATATCTCATGACTGATTATGGGCATCAGCCCTCAGGCTCAATCCGACCCGCACACGTCACAACACACTGCTAATTCTTTAAAATTTCTAATTTCATTCTATATTTTAATTATTTTTCCTAACATACCTTTACTTTATTTCTAAAATTTCAATTATACCTTTAAACATTTTCTATTATTCCTTTTTCATCCCGAAATCATTAAATTACTATTTTGCCATTAATTTTTTCTTAAAATTCCATGTATGTCCCTAAATGACTATTTTACCCTTGGACATTTTCAAAAATTCCTTCCATGTCCCGAAAATGACTATTTTACCCTTGGACATTTTCGATTATTCCTTCTGTGTCCTGAAAATGACTATTTTACTCTTGAACATTTTCGAAAATTCCTTCCATGTCCCAAAATGACTATTTTACCCTTGGATATTTTCCAAAAATTCCTTCCATGTCCCTAAAATGATTGTTTTACCCTTGAACATTTTCAAAAATTTCATTTATGTCCCTACGATGTTAAATGACTATTTTACCCTTTATCTTTTTTAAAAATTCCCAATTTACCCTCATCTTCAACCTCTGATTCCTAGTACGCCATGTCCAACCTCCAGGTTTCAAATTTCCAAGTTTCAAACACTCAAACTAGTTCCAGATCCAAATTAAACATGAATTATGTCCAATTTAAGTTGAAAACAACAATTTTGTCATATAATTCATCCTTAATTTCAAGAATTTCAACAAAATTTCAAGTTTTGCAAAACATGAAGATTTCAAAATTAGTTGTTCAAATATTCAAATTTTCACTCATATTCCTTACTCACAGAGTAACTACTAATTCAGTCTCATATATTGAATGAATTAAAATTTCCCTTACCTTGTGTGGTATTTCTACCGAAACTTTCCCACTTAATCCAAACTCTCTCCCGTTTTACCAGATTCTGCATGAGTAGAGTATCGTTTGCTTGAAATTTAGACGAAAGAAGAACGCGTGATATGGGAGGAAAAATTTATTGTTGTAACCATTCCTCCCCTCTTCGTACATATATAGAAAATTGGCGTGCAAGTGGAAACTTCACTACGAAGTTTTTTTTTTGCATAGTAATATTATTATAATATATAAAAAAAAAACATACGTCACATTTCTCTTATCATGTACATATTGGTCCATATATTGATTCAATATACAAATTGGATAATATTTACAAAGCTTATTAACATTAGTTTCATCCGGAACAAAATAAAGATTATTGGTCTCCTTATACTAGTTCAAATTATTCCATACTTAACGTGAACAATCATGAAGCCCTAATAGTGGAATGGGTCCGTCAAATTCAAATAAACTTAAAGAAATGTTCATGATGATCATAATTGTAGTAATTGTGCAAACAATAGATTTCATATATGATGTATTTTATTTTTTTAAATTATTATTGTAATTTTAATTTTTTACTTATAAATTTATAATCTTAATAAATGGTTATTAAAAAAAATATAGTATATTATTATAGACGTATAAAATCGTAACAATATTTATTATTTTTTATAATTACTATAAATATATAAATAATTCTAAATAAACCATATATATATATATATATATATATATATATATATATATATTAAGCAAATTGTGCTTATACTAGGATTTTATTAAAAAAATATTACAATTTTTATATATTAAAGCCGTTTTATTTAAACACAACTTTACTTAAAAAAATTAAGAAATAAAATCATACTGGATAACATAATTTTTATATAACAGAATAATTTACCTATATCATAACTTTTAAAAAATTTACATTAAATTGATAATTTTAAAAAAATTACACCATATTAATAATTTTGCCTATAATGTTTGAACCATCTCAAATAAACATACCCAAACAATACATAATATGTTTTAATATTATTATCTTTCAACAAGTCATTCACAAATATAAAAATATTTCATCATTAGAAAAGTCAAGTTTAAAAAGCGAATAGAAGGAATGGGGTGCCCAATGTATGTATAGTGTGGCTCCTCCTTAAGTGGCAATTTAATTTTGCAAATCCAGACAAAACGATGTTGCGGTTGCATGAATGATTGCATCGACAACAATGAATTACGACTGGTGATGGTGACGACAAGGAACTATTGAAGACGACCGTGGAAGAGGTTGAAAAACAAAGAGGATTTTGCTCTTGTGTGAAAAAAAAATCTAAAATAAATAAATGAACCTTTGATGTGAAAACAAAGAGTATTTTGATATGCTATATTATTTCAAAATTTCTTATTTACCACCTGTTTTTCATAATAATTTTGTATGTTACCCCTAAATTACTTTATTTATTTTAACTTTCTTTCTATTTTAATTTTCAATGAAATATTTATGTTTAAATAAATTTAATAACAATTTAAACTTAATTAAAATGAAAACCACTGAAATTATATTTAGAATTAAAATTACCAATAAAAATATTTGTTTATAAAAATTAAAATTTATCTAAAAATATATAAATAATTCTCTTATTTATCAATTACTCCGTTACTAATTTTATCAAATATATTTAACTCAATAATAAGTTAACTGTTACTATGTTAATTTATAAACTTCAAGTTTATTTTACCTAAATATCATATATAGGAAAGATTTACATCTACGTATCACCACAGTTTTAAAATACCCTTTTTACTTTTTTGGTTTTTAATAAAATAATATTAAACATTTTTTCTAATTTTTAAATAAATATTTATCCTTCTTAAATTTATAAAATTACACTTACTTTATTTTTATTTTATGTAAAAATAATATTGATATAAAGTTAAATAAAAATAATAAAAATTAAAAAATAGAAATATAAAAAATTATAAAAATATTTTTTTAAAATAAAAAAGAAAGTTAATGTCATTTTATTCACAAAAATAAATATTATTTATTAAAAGTACGAGAGAACTAATTATTTAATTAAAAATTATGAGAAAAATAAATGTTTATTTTATTAAAAATATAATAAAGAGAAATATCTATTTTAAAATTCAAGGAAATGAATATCACTGGTAAACGCAATTTCCTATAAAATATACTAAACCTGTTTGAAATTTCTAATTCGATAAATAAGAAATAGGTAGGAGAGATAGATAAAAGTAAGTTAAAATATCTCTTTATGACTTATGTTAAAAGTTTGAAAAAAAAAAAAGAAGAAATAATTTGAAAATGATAGAACACATTGCAATATAAACATATAAAAGTCTATTTTTATATGTTTTTATATTTCCATATTTCTCAGAATCTTTTATCAGAAGGAAGGTTAAGTGGCGCTTCTGACCGTTAGAATGGATGAGAAAAGAGAAGAATAATATTTCTTTCCACTATCAAGAATCTTAATCTCAATAATGAAATTATATGAATAATATCAAAAATCGTAATCTCAATAATGAAATTATATGAATAAATAATAATATAAATTGAAAAAAATGATTAACCTTTTAAAAAATATTATTTATGTGATTAATAAAAGGATGAACTCATTTTAAAAAAATAAATGTTTAGAATGTTAAAAATCAGTTATATTCGCATCAAACGCTTTGTACTTGTCTCAAAGTTAATTTTGATATAATGAGCTAAATTTTGCCATACAAATTACTGTTCAACTTAATTAATTTGGCTGGAAATGTAATTTTATATCAAACTATTTATCATAGGCTATATAAGAAAATTATCCTACTGTATAAGATTTATACACAGATTTTGTGCTTAATTAATGATTTTCAAATTACAACTAATTCAGCATATACAATTCACATCTAAACTTTACTCTAGTTGTAAATTGAAAGTTAAAATCATTTCTGAAGGTTGAATAAAATGAATTAAATTGAATTATAAATGAAGACAGTATTTCTTCCTCTTTATATAGTCAGACATAAAGGTAGGAAAGTAAAAAGCAGAAAAAGAAAATTAACATACAGAACCTATTTCAACAATCCAATCAGCAATTTACAGGCATCACTTTTTAACTGTTCAAAAAATACCAAATTTCAATAGCCAGAAAATTATTTAAATTGGACACAATCTGGTGAGTAGCCATGGAAATGTTGCACAACGGAATCCTCAAAATTTGCAGAACACTAATTGCATGCTTAATCAATTGAGGAAATGCCATGATTGTTAGATCCTCAAAAATTAAATTGCAAAACATTATTTTCGGCCTCATTGCTATTGAAGAATCAATTTCATATACAATTCGGGTAAAGCTCACCTCAACCTTTTATTCTTCATCATTTTGATAGGTCCCAAACTAGGGAACAGAAATTCAAAGGAAAAGTTTTCAATCAGGGCAAAGTAGCTATAACTTCTTTCCTATCAGCGCCCCGAGCCTGAAATTCAGAAGATCATCGATCAGAGTTTAATAAAACACATCATCTAAGTAACACTAATAATTGTTATTTACTAGATTGTAATAGCATCTGCATTTAATTTTCATGTAAAATTTCAAAAACTGAATATGTTTGGGACATTCACTTTGAGAATTGAACAACCTAGATTTTAAATCACCAACCATGCTAAATTAGTTTTCCCATCATGATTTCAAGTATCTAAACTCTTATCTAAAATACTCTCTCCGAATCAAAATAATTATCATTATAGAGGTTTTAACTGGTTCCAAATTATCCTTATCTTTTTGGTATCTCCATTCCATTAAGAAGAATAAGAGAGCATTAATGGAATGAATGAGTAACCCAATCAAGTGAGCTTACATTCCTTAAAATTGAGAATATTACATGACTTTCTTAATCCTTGTGCCAAGCCTAAAATACAACTATTTTGAATGGGAAGAAGTAATATTTTCCCACTTGAAATAGAAAAAAAGGAAGTGATCACTGGGGTTGGGTCGCGCTCCTCGAGGCGAGCCTAACTCAAGTGTCAGAGAGAGAAACGGCACCGGAGAAAGACTGCACCAGCGGCGGACGGCGAGCAACGATTAATGCCAGAAAAAAAGAAGAGACGAGCAGAGCGGGATGAACCCGCTCTGATACCAACTTGAAATAGAAAAAAAAAGAAAATAAAGAACTGATTTTGAGAGCCTGAAATCATTCTCTTGTGTTTCATAGGAGATAAAGATACAGATTCAGAGATACAATTAATAGAGAGAAATGATTAATCCTAGAGAAGATAAACAGATGCATTCTAAAAACTAGATCTACAACTAATCTCATAAATGCTTCAACAAGATACAACTAATCTAATAAATACTTCAACATTCCCCAATTTTAAGTAGAAGACTTATGAATCTTTAATGTATCGTTTGATTTGCTTGTACCCAAATTCATGTAACATTTGATAACAAAAGAGTGAAGAAATCTACATAAAAGAATGAGTGGAGATGAAATTATCACTACCTCGACACCTAAACCTTTAACATATACGTTCTTAAATAAATCAGATGGATCTGGCATTTGACTTTCCTGGAAATCAGAAAAAACACAACTGAAACATTGTAAATCACATAGAGCTGCAGGAGATGGAAATATGTGAAATACCAAAATTCGTAGGAGAAGAATCAAGAATCAAGATATAGTTTCACCTTTGCTTTGGCAATGGCTTCATCAACTTCCTTTCTTACTTCCTTTTCAGTGTCCTGAAAGAAGTGCATAATATTTTAGCGTTAAATTCTAATGTTCCATCCAAATTAATATGATAAGAATAAGAACTTTGATTTCTTTTAAGAAAATACAGAGATCAACATCTTACAGCAGAGGAACACCTCTTTAATTCCTTTAAGTCAAAGCACAATAAAAAGGAAAATGGTTACTGGCTGTTGAAGGGGTTTTCTTTAATCCCCTGTCCTCGCTCAATGTCAAGGAGAGAATATTGAAAAGGTAATGGTAGGTGTAGTATTTACTAGAGTGAAAGAAATCACACGGAGTATTCCCCCCACCCTGCCCCCAATTCACAGGGCGTAGCTCCCATCAAAGAATGTAAAACAACTTTACCCAGGTTACATTAGAAAGAAAATAAAATGAAAAATCAACTTGAATACCAGCATCTATGCTGTATTATGATTTATGAGTCCCTTTCACAAAGCTAACCAACTGATACAGCTTATCCTCCTTGTTTTGAGCATTACCATATTCCTACTCCTTCCAGTAGACAATTGTCAAACATGAAAGTTCTACCAATCTACATCCTGTTGTTTTAATTTGGCTTTTTGGACCTAACACTCAATCACTGAATGCGTTCCCCTCTTTCCTTACCCTGCTATCCATGATTTTCGTCAGTAGAATTCACATTTCACACCTTCCAATTAGCATCCAGATTGTCTATACACGTTGGTCATGTGCCATAAGGGCCTTACTCCCATGCGTTCCTAATACAACCTCTTGTCTAATATTAATATATGAGACACTTGCGTCATAAACTGGAAGCCGTTCCAAATACACAGAAAATTTGTGACACTTATTACAAATTTAAGGAAAATCATGACACAATCCATGACAGATAAACAGATCATATTATCATTCAGCACATAGCATAACATAAGTAATTACAGGCAGAATAAAGCTCAAGTAAACAGTAACTGTCATAATTGAAGTCTACCACAATTCACATGATATTTAACCAATGAGGGGACTCAAATTCCATGACAACTATTTTAATACATCCAAAATATTATGGAAGAATAGACTTGTATAATTTAATCAAATAACAATTGGAAATATATTGCCTAAACATAAAATTTACTCATTCCTAGATGACCTGCAGCACAATAAAGAAAACTGTTTCATGAACTTGAAAAGTAAAATACCACGATGCCCAGAAAAAATTTTACCACAGATATTAAGATGAAAGAGATTACAAGAGTATTTAGTACGAAACAAACACATCACATTTTACAATAGATGCATGGAGCTTGAATACAAACTTCATTCAGTCACCTTTAGCTCCTTTTCAGTAGAAATCTCATGAGACAATAGCAGCTTTCTTACTCTCTCAATTGGATCACGCTCCTAAAATCAGATTGGACAATAGAAAATAGAAGAGATAGAGTAAACTCCTCAATATTAATTAAACTATTAGGACATATGATCATGGTCATAGTAACATACCTGTCTCACACCAGAAATTTCATCACGTGTGCGGTATGTGCTGCCAGGATCAGACATGGAGTGGCCATGATATCTGTATGTGTCCATTTCAAGAATCTGGACAGAATAAATAGGATAGAGAAAACAATTATTATAATATAAGAGAATAAAAGGTCATTCCTAAAATCTAAACATAAATTTAAGAAATACAAATACAAATAAAAGTAAATTTACTCACAATGGGACCATTCTTCAAAGCAAACTCCTTTGCAAATTTACAAGCTTGTTTCACAGCAAGAGCATCCATGCCATCTACCTGCACAAATTTACTTCCAAAATGATAAAAAATTTGTTCACGAAAAGACTGAGGTATATATTCAACCAGCACATGTGTATATATATATATATATATATATATATATATATATATATATATATATATATATATATATATATATATATATATATATATATATATATATATATATATATAGCTATCACTGAGACTGCAACCCGCGAAGCTTGAGCTACTGCTAACCAGCTACAAAATTGCTATGAAAGTAGAGCAGACAGTGGAATGGCTGCTATGCAAAGTTCTATATAAACATAAATTATTTACTTATGCTATACACACATACATGTTGAGAAGCAAAATAAAACATTGATAATTGAAAAATATAGATACAAACAAGAAAAGGGTGGTTGAATTGTGTTGTGTTATATTTTTTGACAGATCAAAAGCTCTGATATGAAATTCCTTTAAACACTCTTTCACGCAGCAAAAAGGTTTTGACAACAGACAAATGGATATTGTCTTATGAACTAAGACAATATAATTTTTTTTGTAATAAAACCATTGTTTTATGATAAAGATCTGTGAGAAATCAAATAGTATTTTAGGAAATAATAAATAAGGAAATTTGTATATTTCCTTGTAATCTGTACAGATTTGAATAATTAGGAACAATCCCATAAATCAAGGGATCCTAGCATAAAATAGAGTTATTATATTTCCTAAAATAGTTTAGGTCTCTTGTATATATCTTATATCATCTCTTTGTATTGAAATAATAAAATAAATCATATTTCAGTTAATCTATTTTTCCGGATGGTATCGAGCTTCCGATCTAGGAAGCTCTGTCTGCGCTCGATAAACCCTAAGACGGCAGCACTGCATTGCTGCTGCATATTTTGTAACCCTAAGACGGCAGACTGCATTATCGCTGCATTTTTCTTAACCCTAAGACGGCAGCTGACATTGCTCGCTGCATTTTTCTTAATCCTAAGACGACTGACTTGCATTCGTCGCTGCATTTTTCATAATCCTAAGACGACGACTCGCATTGTTGTTGCATCGCACCTTTTGCTATAATGTCAAGGGAAGAGGAGATAGAAAGGGTGAAAACCATTCTTAGTAAGTCTGGAAAAACCTACGGGTATGTGTTCTTTGGCATACTCGGGTAAGTTTCCACCTTCTTTTGGATTAAATGTCTCGGATACGCCTTTTAACCATTATTGGATATTGGACTCTGGAGCCACAGATCACATGACACCATTAGCCAAACACTTCTCCACATATTCCCCATGTCCCAAGAACAAGAAAATTGCCACAAGCAGATGGAACCCTTATAACTGCAGCTGGTCAAGGAAATATCCAAATCAATCATTTAATAACCTTAAAAGACGTTCTCCATGTCCCAAAGTTGTCCACGAACCTAGTGTCTATACAAAAACTTATAAAGGATTTGTCATGTAAAGTTGTTTTTTCCAATGATCATTGTGTATTTCAGGATAAGGATTCGGGGAGGATGATTGGACATGCTAGAGAATGGAATGACCTTTATTATCTCGAAGATCCAAGTCTGCCCAGACAAGAATAGAATCTCTCACTCCTTCATATCTCGAATCCTTGATGACCAACGAGAGAAAAAGCATGCTTTATCATTGTCGGTTGGGACATCCCTCTTTTGGAGTGATCAAAATTATATTTCCCTCTCTGTTTACCAAGTTAGATGTTGAGAGTCTTCATTGTGAGGTGTGTGAACTTGCTAAGCACAAACGTATATCTTTTCCAATAAGTAATAGAATTAGGAATTTCCCTTTTTATCTTGTTCATACTAATGTATGGGGACCTTCTAATATTCCAAATGTGTCTGGTACTCGATGGTTTGTCACCTTTATAGATGACTGTACAAGGGTCACTTGGGTTTTCCTACTTAAACAAAAATCACAAGTCAGTTCTGTCTTCCTAAACTTCCACTCCATGATAAAAAATCAGTTTGGTGTTAATATTAAGAGGCTTAGGTCAGATAATGTCAAAGATTACTTCAATCATGTCCTTAATTCTTTTTGTCAAAAAGAAGGTATAATTCATGAGTCCTCTTGTGTCAAAACACCACAACAGTAATGGGGTCGCAGAGAGGAAAAATGGACATCTATTAAATCGAGACTCGGGCATTGTTGTTCCAAAAAAGTGTCCCAAAAAATTTCTGGGGAAAGTCTGTCCTTACAGCAACATACCTTATCAATAGACTACCCTCTAGAGTCTTAGGATCAAAAAGCCCTATGGAAGTTTTGTCGTCTTTCTATCCAAACTTGTCTACTACAAATAATCTTAAACCAAGAGTTTTTGGGTGCATCTCATATGTCCATATTCATAGTACAAACAGGGGAAAACTTGATCCTAGAGCCTTAAAGTGTGTCTTTGTTGGTTACTCACCCACTCAAAAAGGGTATAAATGCTACCACCCCCCATCCAAAAAATTCTTTGTGTCTAGGGATGTTACCTTCAATGAACAAGAGGGTTATTTCCATCAACCTTATCTTCAAGGGGAGAGTTTCAGGGAAGATAAGGAAAGTAGTGATTCTGGTTTTTCCATTCTTCCAGACTTGACATTTGAACCTAAACGAAATCATATTGAAAGTAGTAATTCTCGTTTTCCCATTCTTCCAGACTTGATATTTGAACCTAAACAAGATCAAATTGAAGATCAAATTGAAGTTGTAACAAATGAAACAAGTCAAGGAATTGGTCAAGCAAAGGAAGTTGGTCAAGAAAGTGAAATTAATTGTGAAGCTGATCAAGAAGATGTTGAAACTGGAAAATTTGGTAAGAAGCTGGTGTACTCAAGGAAGACTAAGGCCATTCCAGGATCAAGCCATGTTCAAGAATCCAACTCGACTCCACAAAAAGAGGTAACAATTTTTTCTCCAGATGTGCAGGTTGAAATTGAAACCCAAAATGATCCCGACCTCCCAATTGCCATTAGAAAAGGAACAAGAAAATGCACCAAACAGACCACTCTACCCTCTCTCAAATTACCTGTCCTTTAAAAATTTCTCTCCTACCCATAAAACCTTCCTAGTAAACCTAAACACCGTACTTCTACCTAATACCCTATCTCGAGGCATTGTCCGACAGAAAATGGAGGCAAGCCATGGATGAAGAGATGGAGGCATTGGAGAAAAACAACACTTGGGAGTTAGTCACCTTACCAATAGGAAAGAGGCCAGTTGGATGTAAATGGGTCTATACAGTGAAATACAAGGCCGATGGATCAATTGAGAGATATAAGGCAAGACTAGTTGCCAAAGGGTTCACCCAAACCTATGGAGTTGATTATTTGGAGACCTTTGCTCCGGTTGCCAAAATGAACACGAGTTAGGGTGATATTGTCCCTTGCTGCCAATTATGGTTGGAACTTGGAACAATTTGATGTTAAGAATGTTTTCCTACATGGAGACCTTGAAGAAGAAATCTATATGGAGATACCTCCGGGATATGGTAAAGATGTTGCTACCAACACTTGTTTGCAAGTTGAAAAAGGCATTATATGGGTTAAAACAGTCCCCGTGCATGGTTTGGCGGGTTTACTAAAGTTATGACAAGTCCGGGTTACAAACAAAGCCAAGGGGACCATACTTTGTTTTTTAAACATTCCAAGTCGGGGGAGTAACAATATTATTGGTGTATGTGGATGACATAATATTAACTCGGAGATAATAAAGAAGAGCAACAATTATTGAGTCAATGCTTAGGCAAGGAATTTGAGATCAAGACTTTGGGAAAACTAAAATATTTTTTGGGAATTGAAGTTGCCCACTCCGAGAAAGGGATATTTATATCTCAGCAAAAATACATCACCGATTTGCTCAAGGAAACCGGCAAGGCAGCTTGCAAACCTGCTAGTACCCCATTAGAACCAAACCTAAAGCTTGGAAATGCAGAAGAAGATGTTGCTTCGTTGAAAAAGATATGTACCAAAGATTAGTGGGCAGACTTATATATTTGTCACATACCAGGCCGGATATTGCCTATGCAAGTGAGTTTAATTAGCCAATTTATGCATAGCCCAAAGGAGATCCATTTACAAGCCGCCTACGTAATTTTACGAGTACCTTAAAGGAACTCCAGGAAAAGGGATTCTATTCAAAAGGAATGGTAATGTGAAACTTGAAGCCTATACTCGATGCCGATTATGCAGGGTCAATTGTGGATAGGAGGTCAACTACAGGATATTGCACCTTTTTTGGAGGAAATCTTGTGACTTGGAGAAGCAAAAAGCGAGGTGTAGTGGCTCGGTCCAGTGCTTGAAGCGGAATTCCGAGCCATGGCACAAGGTATATGTGAGTTGCTATGGCTTAAAATCATCTTAGAAGACTTGAGGATAAAGTAGGAAGAACCTATGAAGCTCTATTGTGATAATAAGTCAGCAATCGAGTATAGCCCACAACCCGAGTGCAAGCATGATAGAACAAAGCATATTGAAGTAGACAGACACTTCATCAAAGAAAAGCTTGATAGTGGCTTGATATGCACTCCATATGTGTCCTCTCAAGACCAAATTGCGGACATTCTTACCAAGGGACTGCTACTGCCATAATTTTGAGAAGATTGTATCCAAGCTGGGAATGGAAAACATCTATTCACCGACTTGAGGGGGAGTGTGAGAAATCAAATAGTATTTTAGGAAAGAATAAATAAGGAAATTTGTATATTTCCTTGTAATCTGTACAGATTTGAATAATTAGGAACAATCCCATAAATCAAGGGATCCTAGCATAAAATAGAGTTATTATATTTCCTAAAATAGTTTAGGTCTCTTGTATATATCTTATATCATCTCTTTGTATTGAAATAATAAAATAAATCATATTTCAGTTAATCTATTTTTCCAGAAGATCTTTTCACAATAAAATTCCACCTTTGTTTAGAAAATACACATTAAAGATAAGGGATCAGAAATATTAACGCAATTTTTTTATATTGGTTCACCAAATAACCTTGGGCAATGCCCAGTCCATGATACTCAACCAAGTATTTTTCACTAAGATAACACATCGATACAAGGATAACCTAATCTTGATATAACCCTTCTTTCAGTAATATCTCCAAGTTCAATCCTAGGCATTCTTGAATACAAGCCTCTTCAAGCTCTACACGCCTTATGTTTAAAAATAAAATACAACATACTATCATCCCATGATGAATAATGAGGGGCTAAGACTGATAGTTTCCAAGACTCTTTTCTAGATATACAAGAAATTAATTAAGAAGAAAAATAAATGTAGCTAGAGTAGGAAGCATTGCAGTGTCTATGTAGCCAGCAATCATTAATGTTTGCTCTCACGATTATACATGTTCTTCTAAGAGATGTTGAGGGATTCTTCAGGCTGAAGGCACTTCAACCAAATTTAAAGACTGTTGCATTTAGTGTCATATATGTTAGAGTAATTCAGATCACAAAGTCGCCATTGTCCCTCTAGGCTTGACAGGTGAGTTTAATACTCAGCTATTGTAATTTGGCAGCTGTCATTAGTTAGTTAGAGTCAGTTACATGTACGTTACAGCCATTTTAATGTGACAGTTGTCAATAAACAGCTGTCTCTAGTTAGAGTTAGTTATTGATCATCCTGTATAAATACTATTTCTGTAAGTAAGAACACAATGTAGCAATTCATTCATAAAAAAAAACTCGGAGGTTTCTTTTCACAATTCTCTCTGAATTCAAGCACATCAACTGCGAACTTCACTCCACCCAATGGTTCTTGGTTTCAAAATTCTTGCACCGAATCAAATTACTCATTGATTCTCTCGCTTCAGTATGTGTGATCCAGTTGCTCATTAAGAACATATCAATGTCATGATCGAAGAACTTCCACAAGATTATAGTTCAAAAAAAAAAATTATATCAATAGGAAATTTGAGCCTTTTCCAATTAAACACGAGATGCGATTACAAAAATTTAATAAAAAATTGTTCAATCAATCTACTTCAGTCATTCTAATGAGTCTAACACTTCTTTGCCACCTAAAGATTCCGAGTCTTCTCAAGCACAAGTTCACTTTTTCTCGAGAACAACAACTTGATGATTCCTCTGATGTTCGTGGTTTTGACTATGGTTGCAGGAATAGAGGTGGTCGTGATTGTTGACATGGTGGACCTCAAATGTTCAATGTTAGGAGTGCTTTTGCCTCAGTTACATTGCCTCACTGTGCTATCACCACTTCAACCCTAACAATCGACCTCAATATCCATTGATCTATGATAACTCCAACTACGTTTCTAGATACCCCAATTCTTGTGCTGTTAATTCAAGACATCTTTCAAGATTGATCCTACTCACACCTACAGCACTTTGTGATCCTCTAATATTCTGCCTTGGGCTCATGCTTTTCCAGCAGCCTTTGTTTAGTTCAGGCCTCAAGTGCATCTAAGTAACACAGTTAGTGTAATGATCAGTAAATCCCGCTACTAACCATGCTTGGTTTCCAGATTATGGTGCTCCTATCCATGGAACTCTTTACACTTAGAATATTCAGCAATTTGCCACATTTGAAGGACAGGACCAAATTTACATTAGCAACAGCCAAGTTTGCATACCAAATTCTATGAGACATTACAATTTCAGTCACCTATTAATCCTAATTTTACCTTAGTCCTTAATCATCTCATTCATGTTCCATAAATAATCAAATTCTCTGGATCATCACAGTTCAGTCACCTATTAATCCTAATTTTACCTTAGTCCTTAATCATCTCATTCATGTTCCATAAATAATCAAATTCTCTGGATCATCACAGCTCAGTCACCTATTAATCCTAATTTTACCTTACTCCTTAATCAACTCATTTATATTCTCTAAATAACCAACAATCTTATTAGTGCACAGAAATTTGCAAAAGATAACTGTGTATTTTGAATTTCATGCTGACATTTGCTTTGTCAAATCATAGGCCAATCACAAAATCCTCCACCAAGGTCGAGTCAGTTCTGATGATACAAGTTTTCAACTCTTAGCTGAAACCTCCCTCCAGTCGATGTTCACTATTGTCTTTCGGCATCTTCTAATAATTCTATTGCTTTCGTTTCTCCTAGTTCCCAATACTGGCGGCATTTACGAATAGGACATCCCCATAGCAACATTATGAAACATGTACAACCACATTGTAATATATACCTTCAAATAAATAAAGCCAAGTGTTATGTTTTTCTGGTTGTAGGGGCCACGTTCACCTTATTCATGCTCCCCTTTCCCTCATTACTTATCAATCTCCTTTAGAACTTGTTTACAGTGATCTCTGGGGGTCTCTCATGCCTTCTACACAAAATTATCTCTAATATATAACTTTGTGGATGTCTTTTCGCACTTTATGTGGATTTATCTCTTGAAAAAGTAAGTCTAAGGCCTTTTAAGTGCTTAAACAATTCAAATCCATGGCATAATTTCTATTTGGGACTCCCCAGTCCCTTCAAAATGACTGGGGAACACAAAGCATTTACTGACCAATTTAGGCATTGTTCACCATGAAATATGTCTACACACACATCATCATAATGGTGTAGATGAAAAAAAGACATAACCAAATGGTTGCGACTGTTTTCCTTTGTTCCACCCCTTCGATTCCCAAAAACATGACTTCCGCCCCCACTAATGCATATTTTAGGCTACTCCACCACTCAAAAGGTTACAAGTGTCATCTCCGACAACTATGATATTCATCTCTAAAGAAAATGTATTCAATGAAACTCAATTTCGTTACTAAGAACTTTTTTCTCCTTCCATCTCTCCTGCACCCATTTTACCTACTTCACAATTCCTATGGTTCAGCGACTGTTCCTCCTATTCCAACCTATCAGTGTGTTGTACCCAGTCCTATCGCTACAAAACTCTAGTTCTATCACTCCATCTCAGCCTTCAGACTCTGTTTCTCCTCACCGGTCAATGTACGATCTAACTCACAATCAAGCAATCTAATAACAAGAGTCATTGCCTAAACAGACATGCCACTATGTGAACCAAGACAGTTTGGAAATGAAAAAACAGATAAAAAGGAAAATATATGAATAATGAGGGTGAAAAAAGAACACAACACAGGAGAACAAATAACAAACAGGAGAAATAAACACCAATCACACTGCACTGCGGTGTGTAAACAATGAAGCATTGAATATTCACAACACATTTGCTTAAACAATATGATAGTCATCAATCTCTCTAACCTTCAATCCAGGAACATAATCTCCACGCTTGTAATAAGCAGGACTCTTAGCCGCTCTCCACTCAGCAGTCCCCATTCCATCTGTCCCACAAATCAAACCAAATTAATTCACAACCCAAACCAACGAACGCCTTGTTCCGATAGTTCTACGATAAGCACTACTAAGCTTCTCCCAAACTATAATTAACTAATAGGTAAGCTTAATCAACTTTTGGAGAACTTGGCACAGACAACTTCTCTTCAAATTTTAACTTATGGACAAAATTTATTCAAAAAAATAATCCAAACAAGTACAAAATCACCTACATTTCAAGTCACTAACCAAACAAGTCAAACTCACAATGATTATTCTCGCAGACCAAAATGGAAGGGAGATCCCAAAGCGCAGAAATGTTAAGCGCCTCGAACAACTGTCCCTGATTGGCTGCACCATCACCGTACAACGAAAACGTCACATTTTCATCCTTACAATACTTCTGAGCAAAAGCCAAGCCACAACCAAGCGGAACCTGAGCCCCAACAATTCCATGCCCACCGTAGAAGCCACCCTCTTTCCTGTAAAAGTGCATGGAACCACCTTTCCCCTTGGAGCAGCCGTCGCGGCGGCCCATGAGCTCAGCGAACACCTCGAGCAAGGTTCCGCCGCGGCTCAGGAAGGTGCAGTGGTCGCGGTAGGCGGTGATGATGCAGTCTTTGCGTGTGATCGCAGCCTCCATCCCCACCGCGACGGCCTCCTGACCGTCGTAGAGGTGGCAGAAGCCGCGGATCAGCTTGGCCTTGTAGAGGGAGTCCGCCGCGATCTCCATCCGCCGCATCAGCGCCATGTCGCGGAAGAACGAGAGGAGCTCCGCCGCGGAGGTCTCGACGGCGCGTGAGGGCTCATCGCAGCGATGGGCGGTGAAGGGAAGAGAAGTCTCCACAGTGAGAGGGTCAGTGGAGGAGGAGGACACCGAACGTCGTCGTAGCGACAAGTAGGAGGATAGGGGTTTCAACAGAATCGATGGCGATGACGAAGAAACTCGCGACAGAGCCATTTGGATCCAAAGAATGAAGAAAGAAACGAAAACCGAATTTATTTGAAAATTGGGTAGTTTTGGAAGGAGGGAATAATACAGAAGAAATAGTTAGATGGAGAGGGTTAGGTGAGGGTAATGAACAGAGGAGTGACAAAGACCGAACAAAAAGGAATTTGTGTTAATATGTTTTTACATCGTTGATCTTCCTCCAATGCTTATAGTTGAGTCACATTTGTCTGTGCACCTGCATTTCTTGTTCTGCCCACGTGGATCGATATAAACCGTTAGACAGACATTGCACATGCAACTTCATTATTTTTCAAAGACCGAATCCATATCCGACGATGGCGGAGAATTTTCGTTTGGTTCCTCGTTGTTACACTCCTTAATTTGCTGAGGTTGTCCACCAATAAATTCTCCACTGCTATACAAACTTTACTATTTAATTACTACAATACATCTTTTTCTCTCTATATAATTATGTGATTTTATTTATTACCACTTTCAAAATATTCAATAGTAAGTATTATAAATTTAATAATAAAAATTACAAATTCATAACTTTTACTGGACTATTTTTTAGATTTGAGATTGAACTTAAAACTATTCTCACATTTCAAAACTATGAGATTATTATTTGGAGGAAGTACATAATTAGGATTTGAGAGTAAGTTGCTCAATGTGTATAATAACTTCAAATTAACATTGTCACATATGGTTAAGGAATCCAAAGTATTCCACTCTTTTGTGTTTTATCGTATAACTTTATTATTCATGCTTTGATTTATTACCTACTTTTCTTAATTTAACATGTTAAATTTTACAATTGATTAATATAGTTATTAGTTATTAAAGTTCGACTACAAAAGGACTACCTATACATTGAAAAAAAACATATTTTTAAAAAACAAAATATGTTTAGCTTTCATCCAATATGTATTTTATTACATATAGTAGAAATACATAATAAGCAAATATATCAAAAAGTATATTTGGACTAATAAAAAACTAAAGATTATATGCGTAAGTAAATATACATTTAACTTGTTACATAAAAAAAAAAAAATTCCGATTAATTATTAATTTTTCCGAGTTTCGACGGTGTCGTTTTGTCGCCGCCACTTTGCTTACTAGCAAAGTTGCAAACGCAATTCGTTTTACATTGAAAAATAAAAATGATAATTTTATTTGCAGCGTACGATGATGATCTTTTGGCGGGAATTTGACAAGCTTAACACTTTATTAAAAAAGTATGAACGAAATACATTTTATATCTTTCATCGTGTTTTGGTCTCGCATAATGTTTGTGTAGGGTGTAAAACAGATGCATCATCATACTAATACCACGTTTCGTTCTTCAAAATAATTTAGGTATAAATGAAAGGAATAACATTATCTTATTTTTAAAAAAATGATACACTAAATATTAATAAGATAAAATTTCAAAAATAAAAAATAAAATAATACAAGACATTAAGCCAATATTTATAAACTTAAGTACATAATCATTATTAAATCGAATTGGTCATTAAGTAAATGAAGATATAAATTGAAGGTTTAAAATTTAATTAAAGTTTAATCCAAATTTAATAAAATAAATTTTTAATAATATAATAAATTTAATAATAATAATAATAATAATAATAATAATAATAATTTTATATAAAAAATTCACTACAAAAATATGAAAATTGTTATCTTATTATAAATTAAAATAAAAAAATATAATATGTAATAAATAATTAAATGTTCATAATCATAAAATTTAAATATAAATATAATAAAATAATTATTATTTAAATTAATAACTCGTGTGAGAGACAATAACAAGAGCTTTGATATGATAAGGGGTGACATCTTTTTAATCTGATTGTATAGGTAAAATTTTGACATTCCAAATTTTGTAGATAATTAACTTTAATAATTTATTAAATTTATATTAATTTAAATAAAATATTATATATATATATATTATATTTATAATGAACTCCCATGATTTTTTTCAAAATTGAAAACAAAGAATTAAATATATTGAATAAAAAATTTATATCATCCAACATTTTCATGTTTTCTCATATTTTTATGTTATATATTATTTAATCTCTCAAGAGTTTGGTCATAAAGAGGGTCACCATTTAAAAAAAAATTAAATTTGTAAATATTAAAATAAATAATAAAATATATTAAAATAAAATAATTTAAAAATTGTTTAATATTATTCCACTTTTTCATATTCTATATTTATTTATTCATTTGTGTAATATATATTATTTCATTCTCAAAAACTATATTGGTCAATATCTATCATTTGTGTGAGACAAAAGAAGAAGAAAAAAGATTATATCTTTAATAAACAAAATATTTATTTAAATTAAAAAAAATATCTTTAATTTTTTTTATCAATTTTAATTTAAAAATCCAACTGATTTTCTTAATTTTTTATATTAATTTTTTTAATTTTATACCCATTTAATTAAAATATAATTATTAAACAGACCAATTTTCACATCTATTTTCATGGTCAATTTTCAAAAGAGTGATCATGATAAATAATTGGATATTCAAATTATTCTTAAATAATTGGGTAAAATATAACAGTAAATTTGGCATAAAATAAATGGAAGATAAATAAACAAAAAATAAAATTATTTATAGGCGTATTCATTATAAAACTAGCCTAACTCAATCTAAACACTTTAATATTTTGAAATTTTAAGCAAAATTGGATTTATGATTGTTGAATTTGACACTGAGTTTAATAGTTGAACCAATGAACCTAACTTAATTAATCAACATTCAATGATTAAAAGAATCACATTTTTTCTTTATGCTCTCATATATATATATACAAATTAATTATCCTATAAAACATTTTTTAATTTTTTTTATCATCCTTTAATAAATTATTCATCTTATATTTTTATCTTTTTTACTTGTTCAATCACATACTTTTCTTAATTTCTTTTAAATATAAGTTAAATATATAGAATTAATAAAAAGTTATAAATTTTTTTTCTACTCTTTAAATTATATATTTAGAATAATACGAAATTATTATTTAATTTTTATTCCATGAATTACACGTCATCTTTAACTTTTCGTTCCTCTCTTAAAACTCCCTTTATGTAATATCACGTAATATTTTTTTTATAATATATTAAATTAAAATTTATTTATAATTATAATAATTTGGTTTTTCTAATCTTATTCTATTATAATTATTTAACGAAGTATTCTTAATTTTTTTTATATTTAAATTATTTTCAATTTCTTATTTATTTATTTATTTATTTATTTTTAGTTATACATGAGTTATTTTTATTTATTAATTTATCTTATTAATAATATGTATTTATTAATTTATCTTTAATTAGACATTAGTCCTCTATTTTATCTATATTTATTTATTTAATTTATCTTCAATTATTTATTAATTTATTTTATTCATTTTATTTATTTTTACGCTGATCTATTTTATTTATTTATTTTATATTAAGTTACACATGGATCCTTTTTATCATTGGTTTAACTTATTTTTAATTATGTCGCTTTTATTCATTTATATTATTTATATTGATATTATTTAATTTATCTTTAAAAATTTCTTAAAAAATAATTTTGTAAGACTTAACGATATTATTGTTGAAAATTGAACCTTACGATTACTCTATGTATCTCTAGAGGTGAATGATTAAGGATTATTTTATGAAAAATGATAAATACTTATTTATCGTTATTAGTCCATAAAAAAATTAATTCAAATCTTTGTAATATTAGATAAAATAAAATATATTAATAAATTAAAAATATGATTTATACATTATTTGATATAATATTATTTTTCATTTTTTACACTTAAAGACCTGAAAAATAAGTTAAATTAGGTAAAAAAAATTGTAACTTAAATTAAATTTAAATTATGACTTAGAGCAGAGCTAGTATGTAAATTTATGAATCGATTAGTTTTATAAAATAATAAAAGTAATATCATTTTATTAAAAAATATATAAAGAGATTCACTTCTTATAAAAATAAAAAACAAAATAAATATCTAATAATCACTTATTTCAAATTTTTTTATTAAAATTAATTATTATTTTAAATTAATAAATTATTAAAAATAAATAATGATAATAAAAAATAAGTTTTTTAATTCTTATTTTAAAATTAAATAGATGTATATTTATAATTTATATATGAAATTATTATATCTTAAGAAAAATTAAATTATTTATAAAATTTAAATTCTCAAAATATATTTTTATGTTTTATTTTATTTTAAATAATTTTTTAATTAATTAATTTTATATAAATATGCTAATATTTTTTAAAAGAGGTCCATTAACTCACTATAATAAAATTTTTAACCTATATAAACTATTAATTTTTTTTAATTAATCTATAGAATCAAATCTAAACTGAATCGCATCAAATTTGAACCAAATCTAAATTGAGTTACATCAATTCTTTTTTACTTGGTTTAAATTCGGTAACCGTTTAACCGCTCTATTATACATTCCATAAAAAGATTGAGGCTTAAAATTTTTAAACCTTTTATCTACAGTAGAGTCTTTCCAAGTATTAAAAAACAATAATTTTATCAATTTTAATATTTATTTTTAACGTAAAATAATATAATATTGTGAATTTCATATACATACATATATAAATATTTATCTCATATATTATTTTCTCAAATTTTAATAAAAAAATTATATTTTAAAATATAATTAAATTAATAAGTTTATATATATATATATATATATATATATATATATATATATATATATATATATATATATATATATATATATATATATATATATATATATAAAGAAAGAGACATCACACTCAATATTAATACAAATTTTAAAAATAAATATTTATATTTTAAAAAAATATATATATATATATATATATATTAAATTTTAATCCATTGAAATAAAAATAATAATAAATGCGTTTCTACCACTAAAAATTTTCCTTCTTCCAAAAAAAAAATTAAATAGTCTAACTTTTACTTTTGGAATGAATATATTTATTATCTCTATATATTCTTTTAAAAAATTAATTATACAATCCAATTTATATATTTCTTTTTATGATTATACCATTTAAATATAAATAATTATATTTGCAAATAAACACTTTCTTAGTATTTGCAATGCAATCTAAAAATTATTTATCAAACCGTAACAAGTGATTAACAACTTGATTTATGATGATATGAAGCTATAAAATATATATTTTCTCTTTTTAACATTATTTTACATTCTCATCTGCAAATTTAAATATATTGCATCTAATATTTGACAAATCAAATATGTTATAACATGTAACGAAAGTTTGAAAATAATTTGCTAGACAATGACAGCATAATTTTTCTTACTTTTCAGCAATTCGAAAACAATTTTCTTATTTAGCAATCACCATTATCGGAGGAAAATATCATATGATAAATATAACAATATTATGATATGCATAATTTTGAAAAATAATTATTAGGAATTTAAAATAAAATAAAATTATAATATACGAGAATAACAAAGATGAGGCCAAGGGGCAAGCAAATATCAGTAGTATCTATAAGGTGAAACTTGTTCATGCACTAAGCAATAGAATGTGGGCCAATTGCAGCCACCTAATATTTCATAAAATCAATAACCTCGAAAAACTAGTAGCCAGCTAAAGAGAATATAAAACTTATTATGATAACAAAACTATGGATGAATGGAAAGAAAATGTCCTTTAGTTTCATCACAAGTTACCTCTATTTACATGATTCAAACTCATCATTCACCATGTCAAACTATACCACAATATTCGAACCTCCTCTCCTTTCTGTGTTGCCTTATTTGGTTGCTGGTATAGAAGATGCAGAGAATGCAAGAAAGATGAATTTCAGAAATAACATCTTTTGCGAAACTTCTTGGATGGGATGCAATTTCCATCTGGCACATCCGCCTGCCGTTGATGCATGACCAAAAAACACTGATTGACAACAAAAATGAAAAAGAAATTAATACATAATTTGCTTACAAAATCTCATTAACTGGAAAAAATACACAAGCATAGATGTCTCTAAAAATTATCATGCGATTTATAGAAATCAAACTAAATCTACAACAAATGGAGTTAGATGAAATTCATTGAGTTCAAAATGCAAAATTCAGCAATAAAAGGAATACAACATACCATCTCGGGCTCAAAATGAATCATCGTCAAATTGAAAATAATTTGCAGACCCGTTGTTCTCTGCTTGAAGAAATGATTAAGGACTGTGATTGTTCAAGGCATGAACTGCTCTGATGCAAGGTCCTCCTTTTTTTTCTTCTTGTTTGATATAAAAAGTCTTCAGTATCTAAAACGTATGAAACCTAAGATGCAACATGTTCCCCGGAAAAAACAAATAATGGAAATTCAGAAACGCAACATGGACATACATATCAAATGCATGGTATTAACAAAATGAGCAAAAACAAAATAGTATTTAGTAGGATTCAGGCAAGAATGGCGTATATTTATAAAATATATTATTAAAAATACCTTAGACGAATTGCAAGCTATCTTACACTCCAGTCCATTGATAATTTGTAGTCCATCCATGGCCTGGCTTGAAAATTCATCACGACTGCCCTGCTTGCGCTTATTCCTGCAAAAGTAAACAAACCAAAATAAATACAAATGTTATCTAACCATTAACATGCTACGAACCAACAATTCTTATTCATAATATACCTCTTCAGGTATATTCCTGATTGCTCCTTTTTGTCAGGGACAATGGATAGGTAGTCATTGTGCAGATAAGCTGAAAAATTAGGGTCCATTGACACAGCAGTCACTTCAGGCTTATCAAATCCATAGTCCATCAGTTGAATAGACAATTGGGTAGGTGCAGGTGACTACAATGTATATGAAATAAAATAGTTATAGAACATAAAAAACCTCGAATACAATACAAATAAAAAGTAAAATAAAGAAGCTGAACAAAGTTGAGAAAGTGAACAAATAAAAAACTTACACATTCAATACGATATATGTTCTCATCATGAAGAAGAACACGAGCATTTTCATGACAAACTAAATCAACAGATCTTCCAGGTTTTCTTGATTTTTCATATGCATATAGTTGAAGCAGCTTGTTATCCATCTCATCGGCCGCAACAGCTTGAAGCTGAAATAACAAGGACAAATTTTCAGGATTGTAAAAGAACACAGAATGGCATGGTCATGGGAGAGAACAGTAGGTTTTTACACACATTACCTGTTTAACAAGTTTATATATCAACTTGTCTAATGTGAATAAGACATACGATTGAGTTCCAATAATAGCTCGACAGTCATCCTCAAATTTTGTACTATCAGAAGAACCATCCAGTAAATTGTAAAGGGCGTTCAAAAACCTGTTGCAAAAAAGTCCCCTCAATCTTTGCATAGATAATTAAATCTTCAAATTAATAATAACAGTGTAACATTATGGTATATTTACCTACCTGCCATATTGATCAGTAGAGTTTGTATCATTTGAAGCCCTCCACTTCCTTTCAGCAGATGATGAATTAACCTTTGCACACTGTATCCTCTCATACAATGTCTGCCAAAAGTAGCAAAACAAAATACAGGATTAGAAATATATAATAAGGCATGAATGAAACCACATGTTAATCTTCAATCATAACCATAAATATGTACAAATGTGAAAGAAAAAAAAAAATTGTACCTGATGAAGTCTAAACAGCACATAGAAGGAATCATTTCCATAAAAGACTCTAACAGTCCTTTCTTTCTCATGCAACACTGGAGGAACATGTTTTGCCAAAGGCTTTACATTGACAAGAAACCGCTCTGAAAATGGCAATGAGGCACCATCTCCTTCAACATCATTGGCATCAGCGATTCCTTCTGCCTCACCTTCACTCTCAGCCTTGTTATCATGGTCATGATCCCCATCCTCATGTTCTCGAGAACACTCATCACCATCAGCAGACTCAGTACCAGAAACATCACCATTTTCAGAAGCATTCTCACTGTCCTCCAATGATCTATGGGGACTTTCTTCTCCTTCATCATCAGCATCATTTTCTCCTCCTACTTCACCATGAATTTCTCCTCCTACTTCACCATGAATTTCTTGTCCATGTCTGTTTTGGTATTGTCGGCAAATGGTACCATCTTTTCCTTTATGAACTGCCTCCGAATCAGTATGCCCATAAGCTGCAAAGTTATCCTCTTCAAGGTCTCCGTTGGGTGATAGCTCACCCTCTTCTCTTTCACTTCTGAAGAGTCCAACTGATTCTTCATGATATCTGCGAACTTTAGTGTCCTCAATGATGGGGCCATTAGTGGATGTCACTGGTCTTGTAGAATCAGCACCCTAAGTCAAAATAAAACAGAAAATAATGACATTGCTGCCTATAGTTTGCACTGTGCATTCCCATACAATATACAATATACAGGATGTGTAACAAAAGTAAGTCCAAGAAGACAAATAATGACGGAGGAATTGAAGAACATTGACCACAGACTGATTTTCATTTAGGGCAACGTTCCAACAATTACTGGTCCTAAAATAAATAAGCACATTACCACCTAATTTTCAGTTACATGTATCCGCAATCTCTGTCTTGGTGTCATGAAATAAAAATTTAAATTAAAAGATAAAAAATGAGATACATGTCAGGCTATTATGAGTGTTACTGAGAACTTCAACCGCGTGGTGACCACTGAGGCCCAAAAACACAAGCAAAAAGGAAATGGTGCTCTTGATACTCCTTTTCAGAGGGACAACAATCTACAGCTTAACATTTAAGTCTAAAAATATCAAAATAAAAGATAACAATTCATAGAAAAAAAAAGAAGAAGATAATTATACTAATCAAATCAAAGCATCCAAATGCTACGAGAAGAATTATTTGGGCCACCTTGCTTCAAAGAAAATCATCTTAACTAATGCAAGAAGATAAAAAGTCAGAAGAAACCAGTTTGCAATAAAATAGAGGCTCCAGATCTATAAGCTAAGTAACTTTAATAGCTAGACAAGTGCAAGGCAAAATGTCAATCAGAAGAATGCCAATAAAAGGGAGAAACAAAATCATCTCATCCATATAAGCCATCACACGTCCTTTCCAAATCCAATAAATGTATGTTTCTTTGCACCGTTTTTATTTTCTTACTTGAAATTAGAAGCAAAGATATAATTAAGTCACCTCTATGCCATCAGTGAACTAAAAATTGTGACAACACTGAATATTTCACTGAGAGCATTTTAACTGGTTCATTACTTGTGTACAACTCTATAATAAAATTGAATCAAAATTAATCCTCTTCAGAAAAATAATTTCCATATCCACTTTAACTTGAAAGTAGACTTACATAAGCTGAAAAGGGAGTCAAACCATACCTCTAAAGAAGGTAAATCAACTCCTCCCACAGTAGGTATATTACCAGGTCTTGATGGAGTAGCAACAAGTCCTTGCAGAAACAAGAGGTATTTCAGTTCAGTCATCATCAAAAAAGAAAATAAAGTGTAAGGAAAGTTAAAAACTAACAAGGATCATGAATTTGAGATAAATAGCACATATATAAAAAGCCCAAAACTACTATCCTAATTACCTAAAATTAAAGACACTTGTAATTAATTAATATTCAGATGTCATATCCGTCAAAACACAGGTCAATAACAACAAAAGTAAAAGAATAATTAACTCTCTAAGGCTTAAAATAACTCAGAATGCACAAAAAGAAATGACGTGCTTTTCTTTTAGAAGATTCTTTTGTTGACTTGGCATGTTTCCATAGGTATTTGTTACTGAAATCCTTATAATAATAATAATAATAATAATAATAATAATAATAATAATAATAATAATAATTTAAAGATGTAACAACTATTGAGATAAATGGAATGATAAGAATGAAGTAGTGTGTGATCATTCTTGAATCAAGTTGCCAACCTGATGCCTTATCCACATTCATTCTTCTATTACTTTGCTCCATAGCCGATGACAGCGAGACGTTGACATTAACCAACCGTTCAGTGGAACGATCTTGCTTACTGGCTCTTGATACTTCATCAGGTAGAGATGCATTTATATTCATTTTACCCTGCTGTGTACTACTTCCTACGGCTTCAGTCTTATGTGCAGAGAGGTCTGAATCAAGATGATTATCCTCTTTAACCTTATTATCTCCACTTGGTTGCCATTGTTTGCAGGAATGAGATTGTTCAAGTGGATAGTTTTCATCCCCATTTCTGTTAATGTTTAAATTCTTAGGATTCATTACAGGACTAGCATCATCACCAATTTCAGTGCCACTTTTGGCAGAATTATTCTTATCCTTAACAACATCTTCTGTATCCTCCGGACTTTGGGATCGAGAAGGAACTCCAAGCACGGGTTCTAAAAATGTTGTCCAAATTTTCATAGCTTTATCCAACTGATCAGTTGTACACATTTCTCCACAGGAATATTTGATGAGTTGATACAGATCTTCATGAATCTCTGGATCAGGATACACAAATTCCAAGTGAGGAATAATAGGCTGTCTGTTTCCAGCAGCAATTGCAAGAAGAATATCATCTTCTTTTCGTTTCTTCTCACTAATTTCCTTGATTTCTGCCAGTAAGACTGTATAATACACAGCAAAAGCAAGGAGTTAGGTGTTAGACATCAGTAAAACGAAAGACTCTTACAATAAAGATCACTACATATTTGAAAGTCGAAGTTCCATTGTACTTGCACCATAATAGCCACTCATATTGCAAGTGGTTGCGCAGTGTAATCAATACAACCAAAGCCAATAGAACATATTATGTCATGAAATTGCTTTCAGACAAAGCCATCAGGAAAGGAAATTCCTGATACATAAGGACGTAAAAGTAAATAGAATTGTTGAAAAGAAACTGAGAAGACATGATGAATTCTGTGTGGTTAGGGAACAATAGAGCTATTCAATTTATTGGAAAGAGAACATAATTACAAAATATTTAGTTTCCCTAGTTTAGGCTAATAACATAAATATAATTGATCTGTATACTATATGTTAGGATTCTAGCATACATATCTAAACTATAGATATTTTAACACTCCTCCTCCTCCTCCTCAAGGTGAAGCATATCAATCATATGCATCAAGATTGTCACATAGTAGTTGATCCATAGTGATTTTATATATATATAGTCAATGATCATGGGAACAAACAAAGTTAGTAGATATTTCTTCGAACATGACTTTCTCCCTAATAAAATGAGAATAAACTTCAATATGATTCGTGTTTTCAAGGAATATAGGATTTGAGATAGTATGCATGGCAGCTTGATTATCACATATAAATGGTAATTGTGTAATCTCCCCAAAATTTAATTCCGGAAACAACTGTTTGAATCATATAAGCTTGTTCACTGGACCTAGCTAAAACACTTTGCATCTTGCTTTTCCAAGAGACAAGTTTTTCTTTGACAAATATATAAAAACAAAAGGTAGATCTTCTATCAACAGGGGAGTCTCCCAGTATATATCAAAATACCTCACAACTCATATGTATCCTTTGTCTTCATACAAAATATTTGAACAGAGAATTAGTAAGATAATTCAACTTTCCTATCAATCATCTACACCTTACAAGATTTGTAAGAAGCTCCCCCAGATTTGGTAGTTGTTTAAAATTGGGATCTATTGGAGTGTCAACTATCTTAATATTTTACATTCCTATTTTTTCCAAAATATCCATGTGCTACTTTAATCTCCAAAAAATATTTTAGTTTGTCAAGATCCTTTGTTTGATAATGCTTGAAAATGTAATGTTGATATGATCACTCTTGTGATCACTATTTCATCAAATAAACTACTAGATAGATGATATCAGCAAGTGAGTGACAATAAAAGGCAAAATGGTTGCTCACTCCAAGTCATACCATACTGTTAAATCATAAAGCTACTGTCTAGGTGATTTTTGTAACCATATTAAGAATTTGCAGTCAACATACAAGGCCACGAGATTCCCTTGAGCAACAAAGCCAAGTGGTTGGTTGCTCTATGTAGACCAATATTTTTAAAATCAGACCTGTCATTGAACTGGTGAAGACATGGGTTCAGGGTTTAAATATTCAACCAAGACCCAACTGGATTTAATAAAATAATATTTTTATAATATACCAAACATATAATTAAGTCGGTAGTAACAACATTTTTTTTAAAAGAAAGAAAAATAATAAATATTTCTATCATAATCACTGTAAATTATAATATAGGTTATAAATATAAAACATACTAGAAAGTGTAAGATGGATAATTGTTAAAATAAGATGAAAAAACGATAAAATAAATATTCTTTAGAGTTGACGTAAGTAATATGAGATAAAAAATAGGAAAAAATCTAAAATATATTACATCTTTTAGAAAAAAATTATATTAAAGAAATTTTGATCTTCAAATTTTTTTTACCAAAACTAGTTCGACCCAAAAACCCATCCAGGTTTTCCGGTTTTATTAGTTTTGTACCAATTTTTCCGATTATTTGGAAATAACGGACCAATTTCCGGTAGACAAATCTGGTCCGATTTTCAAAACAGTGATGTAAACTTTCTCAAGAATATCACTATCTAAAAAAAAAATTGATGTCAACTGACAAGGAGGCCAATGATAAATGACAACAATGGATAGGAATAGTTGAGCAAAAGGCATTTTGGAAACCAAAAAAAAATATCCCCACTTTATCAAGAATATCACAATATAAAAAAAAAAACATTTTTATGTCAACCAACAGGGAGGCCAATGATAAATGGCAACAATGGATAGGAATAGCTTAGCAACAGGCATTTTGGAAATAAAAAAAAAAAATCCCCAAAATCCAACCAGTATATCTGAATATAGCATTTTGCAACTAAACAAGCCTTAAGCCAATCAACTTTCTCATATAGACCAACTTTGATTGTGTAGATAGACGACCAACAAACTTCTCTAGCTGTAAAGGAATGAGATCCCAAGTACCATCATGTTATAATGCACACATCTCATCTATCATAGATAGATTCCATCCTAGATAGGCTAAGGTTTCACTTGCATTCTTAAAACAAAAAGAGATGATAAGGACGAAAGACAAGAATAGTAGGAACAAGAAATATGATGAAAATGCAAAGAAGTACATGGAGGAGAAGGATTAAGAGGAGAACATATACCTTTTTTGAAGAGCAATGGGAAATTCAAAATTAGAAAGCGACACTAGAGAATAAGGTAAAGGAAGTGGCACCAAAGGTGAGTTGGTGGTGGTGTTGGTGTTAAGTGGCAACATTACAAGATGAGTATGACATTGATAAACCTACGAGGATGGGGAAGATGGATTGGGTGGGGACGGAGACTCCTCTAGAAAATAAGAAAGGAACAAGATATGTGTAGGAGAAATCTCATATATAAATGATTTGGACCCAAAAATTGAACAATTTCAAAGAAAATGACATCAATAGAGATGAAATACCTACGGAGAGTTGGAAAATAACACTAATACCTTTTTTGGGATTGTGGGTATTTGAGGGAAACACACTTAAGAAATCGCTGAAAGAGTTTGTCAATGTCAATACCAAGGCTATGTGCAAAACAAGTAGCACAATGACTCAAGGCCCTAAAGAATAAAGAATAAAGAGTGGCGAGGATATAAAACTTGGCGAGGGATTTTACCTTTTATGATGAAAGAGGGCATGCACTTGATGAGATGACACAAAATAAGTATTGAAGCACCTCAACATTGATGAGGAACAAAAAGTGCAAAAAAAGATGTGGGGTGGTCTTAAAAATATGTCTACTTTGGTGTTCAACAATCCCAATTTGTTCGAAGGTATGAGGACAAGATTTTTTATACAATACACCATGATACGCCATAAAGATCTAAAATTGTGTAGACAAATACTCACACACATTATCACTTTCGTTAAATATAACCATAGAAAAAATTGTTAATAAAGTAACAGAATATCTTGAACTTAACATAGAGAAAATATAACTAGGATCCCAAACATTTGAATGAACTACAACAAAAGGGGACAAAGCCCAACTAATTGTACAACTATAAAGGAACTACGAACATGCTTACATAATTGTCATGACTCGTAAGACAAAGATTGTAACTTAGAATGGCGAGGAACTAATTGTTTCAACTTATCAAGACCTAGGTATCCTAACTGAACATGATGTAAAAGAGGAGATATTGTCATTGATCCAACAAGAGAAGGCATGTGGAGGAGATAGAGGCCATGGCATTCAAGGTCAATTATCCTCGTTATACTTTGGTCTTAGAAGGAAGCAAGATCTTTCATAAATGAAAGGCTATGATGCATGAATACGTTGGAAAGGCCAACGTATCCGTATCGGATACGTTGAAAAGGCCAACATATTTGTATTGGATACGTATTCGATATTGATTCACTCCGATACTTAAAAATTCGTATCGAATATGAATCGAAAAAAACCCAAAAATAATAAAAACAAAATAACAAATATTTTTTGTTATTATTATTGTTAAATTAATCAAAACATATTTGAATTATTTAAATATTTATCAAAACAAATTTTAATTATTTAAATACGTATCTCTTTTCTCCCACCATTCTATTTTTCTGAGAGCTTATAGTTTTATGTTGTTGCTGCCTGTTGAAAGTCCCACATCGCCTACCTCATATCATTTGGTATGGTTTAAATACATGTTAGGCTACTCCACATATTGCCAATTGGTTTTATGTTGGAACCTTAACATGGTATCAGAGCCAAAGCCTAACATCTTTCCGGTTATTGTCATGGGCCAAAAGTTGCCCTTTAGTTGGGTCAAAAGTACCCTTTGCCTGGTCCGGCGGGCTTCGTTGGAGGGGGTGTGTTGAAAGTCCCACATCGCCTACCTCATATCATTTGGTATGGTTTAAATACATGTTAGGCTACTCCACATATTGCCAATTGGTTTTATGTTGGAACCTTAACACTGCCATTTGTTTCTCATTGATTTTCTCTTGCTCCCTCTGTCACGGGTTTGTTTCTTATCTGTTCCCGCATTTGTTTCTCTTTGTTTTTTTTGCTCCCTTCATCTTCCAACGTGAAACTTCCCTTCTTTTTTTTTTCGTGTTCTAACGTGTGAGATTACTTTCCTTTTTCTTTAATGTGTGTAACATCTCCACCATCTTCTAGAATGTTCTAATTTGAGTTGGTGTGTGCAACACTTTTTCCACGTGAGACTCACTGAATGTTTGTGATAGATAATATATTATTTATAAATTTTAGTTAATATATTTGGATTTCAAAATATATAATATATTATTAATAATATATATTATGTTTTTAGATTAACTTTATTTAATAATTATTTATAATTTGATTTTTTTAATTAATTAAATTTTATTAATATTTTAAATAATTAATTTTTATATAAATACTAATATATTTATTATTTTTTAATAAATTTATATTTTTATTAAATAAATATTATAAATTATTACAATATACATAATAATTTAATTTTATGTAAAATTTACAAATTAAATCATTTAATTATTTATTAATTTTTAAATTAAATATTTAATTAAAATAAAAAATTCATAATTAGATAAAATATTAATTTTAATATAATTACTTTTTTAAAATTATACTAAGATAAATTTTTTTATTATTATTTTATGTTGTTAATTTTTTATAAGTTTAACTCAATGCAATGATTTAAATATATCTTATTTTTATTATAAATATTAAGTTTTAATTTAATTTTTAATAAGTTAAATTATTAGAAAGTATTATTAAATTAAAAAAATAAAATTATTATTATTATTATTATTATTTATTTTAATTTATTTGAAATATCAGCACCAAAACCAAATTCTTTTAATTCCAATTCAAAAATTCCAAGTAAGTTCTTTTCAAAAGATCATGAATAAAGGTGATCATGCTCCTCTATAGGCTTATGTTACTCTAATAAAAAAGGATCAAAATGGGGTGGAAATAAGAGATGGTCTTGTAATTTTTGTCAAAAATCTTTTACAAGTTGATACTTTAGAATAAAAGCCCACTTATTGAAGATTTATGGAAAAGTAATTGGTATGTGCTCAAAAGTCAATAATAAATATTTGATTGAATTAAAATCAGTTGCTAAATTGGCTAAAAATAGATTAAAACCTACGCATGTTTCCTTACTAACCAAAAATAGACATGAGAATAATTCCTTAAAAAGGAGAAAAAGTCCATGCTAGACAAACACTTTAGAAGCGCCGAATATAAAGCCTAAATATCTACTCTCTAAACAAACACTTTAGAAGATCTCAACCTAATACTGAGTATAAATACAAGACTATGACTAGGGTTATAGGGGTAGTTAAGTAATAATGCAAAGTGAGAGTCATGCATAGGACACGTGCAAACTACCAACAGTAAGGGAGGACGATGGTTTGACAATGCAAAGGATGATGTCTATGCTAGAACATCTACAGAAGTAGAACGAAGAAGCTCGACTTCAAGCCAATAGGGCGTACAACGAGCAAGAATAGCTACGATAGAAGAACAAAGAGCTTCAATCCACGCTCCATCGCGAAGGTTACATAAGGCGCCATTCCAGGCAGGACAAATGCGAAGAACCACGCCACATGGAGAAAAGGGATCAAAACAAGCATGAGAGACCGATACTAGGGGACCTCAACAACATCGCAGGAGGATTCATGAGAGGAGGATCCACGAGCTCACATCCACCAACTAGGAAATGATACACCAGAGTTGTAGCTAACGTATATAAGCTCACATCCACCAAGAGACGACCATCGACTGAGAAGAACCTATTGATATTTTCAGATGAGGACCTCAAGGGTGTGATCCCACATCAAGATGACCCAATCGTCATATCTGTAGTGACGAGCAAAAACGTACACCAAGTCCTAGTGGACCAAGGTAGTTTGACCGATGTGATGTATTAGGAGACATTTGTGGGTCTCGAAATCTCAATAGACCTCCTCAGACCCTTTGAGAGAGTCCTAGTAGGTTTCACGGGAGAACATGTCGAAGTTCGGGGTTCCATCAAGTTAAGGACGACATTTGGGACATAGGAGACTACGAAAACCATTAACATAAGGTACTTAGTCATCCAAGCACCTTCGTCATACAACATTTTGTTAGGACGACCATCACTAAACAAGCTAGGTGCAGTAGTGTCGACGATGCACCTCATGATCAAATACCCTATCAACAACGGCCTTGTGGCCACAATATGTGTGGATCAACAAACAACACGACGTTGTTACAAGAGCAGCCTTTTGAATAAAGGCACCTTTCAGGTCACCCACTCCATTGAAGGCAATGCATTCCCATATCTCAATTCTCGCACCCAAATGGAGGATAGGTGACCACAACCAGTCAATGAGTTGATAGAAGTACCCCTCGATGACAATAAAAAGTTAAACTGGGAAGCAATCTAGAACCCAAGCTGCAAGAACGCACTTCTTATCAATGGGGCATCGGGGTATCAACTCTTAAGCTTCATGGACGCGTACTCGAAATACAACTAGATATTCATGTAGATCGGAAACTCTAAAGCGACAAACAATCATTTTTAAGGTCGAAAATTTACTGTGATAAACAATCATAAGGAGATAAAAAATGACGACAACGATGAACAATTACAATACGATTGAAATCTTCGTTAAGACAACAAAAAGTGACACTAAGCACTTATATTTGCAGTAGCGAAGAGGACAACCACCTACTCCAAGACAACCACCTACTCCAAGGCACCAGCAAATCCAACAATACACATTTTGGCAATCTCAGTCTTGGTAGCATCCTCTGAGCGTTCAACCTCAGTATTCTCCTTCACTAGGAAATTCACCTTCTCTTCTATATAGGATATTTCAGCTCGATGGCTCTGGCGCAATGCCTCATGTACTTCTTTTTCATTCTGTAGCGCTTCGGCCATAGACACTTGAGCCTTTTGACAATCACTTAACTTCGTCATCAGTTGAGCCCGCTCCACCTCCGCAACTCTCTTTCTTCCACCACCTGAGCTTCCAATTCCACCATTTTTTTCTTAACATCGGCGATGAGCGATTTGGTTGTCTCGAGCAATTCTTGTGCGGCTTGTCCTGTTTTGCCACTATTCATCTCGAGGAACCTAAAAAACATATCGAGAATACCGCCCTCTTTAGAAGGAATATTCCCGATTGCTGACAGAGTCGACATAACAACTCTTGCATCAAGAGCAATGCTCGCTTTGCATTTACGAGTAAGGCGAACGTCACTCTCAGTCCGATCAGATTGAGAGCCAACATCTTCCACTTGAACCGAAGCAAAACCCTCCCCAACAGTTACAACCTTGGCAGGTTGTTATTCGGTAGCCATAGCCTCACACAAACGTTGGCTCATTTCGTTTTTTGACAAAGCCATATGCTTCTCTGCAAAGAAACAAACCAAAAAGATGTGGCCAATCAGTAGGAAAAATCCTAAGATTGAGGAGACTGAAAATACCTATGTAAACTTTAAGATCGATAACTCATAATTCAAATTTAAGTGTGGAGGTATAAAAAATGGCATTCAACCGCTCGAGCATGCTGCAATGATTAGCTTCAGTCCGCTCCATTTTTGCTAAATGTTTGGCAGTCTGATAGTGGGGATTGGGCATCCAATAAAGAGGGAATCCCTACACTAAAGAAGAATTGGACTTTGGGGCTCATATTGAAACAGATTCGACAGGACTTGGTCATGCACTCCACTCACAGAAACCCAAGATGTCCTCTTTGAAACCTTACACTAAAAAAAAATAAAACATACTACTAGTCAGGACAACACCAAAATGGGTGGACAATACATAGAAAGCTCAAATAAAGGCCCAGTTGTTGGAGTGCAACTAGGCCTGGGCAACATCAACATAGTTAACATCTCTTTTTTATCTAAAGGTAAACGTAGCCCTAATTTGATAAACACAGTATTGTGTAGAGTTCTGGGTCATCTTTTTGATCCCTACAATTGGCTTCAGAAGGATCATACACCTGTAACACTACATCTTTATCATTACTGGAACGACTCAAAGATTGGTTCTATCTTAAACGCTTCAACAATTTTGCGGTAGTATAATTGGAGGTCTCATGAAAGATTTCAGGCTTAGCCAAGGGATTCAAAGCAACATCACTCATCTCTATTAAGGATTTACCAGCCATTCAAAACACTCAATGCAACACAAGCAGCAAAAAGTGCAAAAGAAATCAAAACCAGGAGCAGCTGAGATTGGACTAACACACCTGAACAAATAAGCTCACATAGGGAAGAACGAGACCTACATCGGAAGAGAAAGACGATGACAGAAACAAGGAGACCTACACCGGAGGAGAAAGGCGATGACAAAAACAAGGAGAAGAAGACAAAATAAGAAATAAGAGCGGAGGAAAGCAAAAGGGCAAAAGGCACATGTGAGGCATGTGGATGATGTGATGTGACGAGACTCGTTGACAAAGTAGTTTCCCACCATAAAGGGGGTGATGGTTGGAATTATGGATCGGAGACCAAGGATGAGATAAGACGCATTAAAGGGGGGGGGGGGGGGTGACAGACCAAAGACTGAGGATGAGATAAGACGCATTAGACAAATATGTGATTGACCAACCTATGTAATTGGACTAACGAGACCTTATAACAATCAAACACATAAAGCCTCAAATTTTAACACTTGAGGTTGGGGACTTTGTAGTGCCCAGGTCCCGACCCGTGTGTATTGCCTAGGTCCCAATCTGTTACATAACCAACCTAATAAATCGAACATACAACAAGTCGTTGCATGTAAGCACCGAATATAAAACCTAAATATCTACTCTCTAAACAACCACTTTAGAAGGACTCGACGCAATGACTAGGGTTATAGGGGGAGATAAGTGATAATATGTTGCAACAAGAAGTTCAATTTTTCATTAAATAATTATTTGAACCAAACATAAAAATCAAATTCAGCTCAATTAAGTTTGTTTCAATTTATTATAAAATTGTTAAACAATTTTTACAAAAAAAATATATAAAAACTCGGGAAAGAGTGGTGCAATGATGTGATTGGTAAAATTCTAAAGGCATCTCCAATAGAAGCAACTCACCTGACTTGCTTCTTATCTTGAAAGATGTAAAATAAAGATTTATAAAACCACATCATTTCTAAGCGACTCAATATTGATTTTACTCTATAGGAAGTTTTTCTAATAAATTTTAAAAAACTCATTCTCTCTCCTCATTTACTTTGATTTGTTGATTTTTGTAAGTTGCTTGATGAAACAACTACCAACAAAATTAAAGCAACTTATCATGTCAAGTAGGATTCCTCTAATAATAAGTTACTTCAAACAACTAATACTTTATTTAAACATCTTAATAAGCAACTCTTATTGGAGATCCTCTAAGCGATGGATTTGTTGGAAGTAGCCATTTGGACAATGAGAGGGAAGAAAAATTCCTCAAAAAAAATAAAAAATAAATCCAAAGCTCACCGTAAATTCAGCATGAGCAGTAACTCCGCCATGAATAACCTCATGAATAGCGAATCCAACAATAACAATGACATTGACATGAATAATACAAGCGACGTGAATAGGCATGACATGAAGGGTAGCACTATTGTGAATAGTGATTCTTGCATGAACCGTCGAAATTTTTTTTTTTTTGAAATTTTACACGTATAAGGACATAGATTAAGGTTTCCTTCTCATCAGGCTCTTGATATCATGTTGAGAAGACAAAAACCAAGATGACATGATGAATTCCATGTGTTTTAAGCACAACAAAACTATAGGGAAGAGGGCATAACAAAATATTTAGTTTCCCTATTTTAGGCTAATAACATAAACATTGAATTAGTCTAACTATCCTACTATCATCATTTGTTCCGAATATCATATCTATAGGATTGTAACATAACAAAATTTTAATAAGAATGAAGATGATATCTCACATGGTTTACCTTTTTGAAGCCGTAAAAAATTAATTTATTTAAATAGTGGAAAAAAGAAAAACTCAACAATTCTATGTTCTAGCATGGGCAATGTGGTATTTTACCTTTAGTGCTCAAGCTTTTTGTATCCTGCTGTTTAAAGTAAAAACTACGGTGATCTAGTGATTTGTGATAGTTCTTTGCATATATTTCAGCCCATACTTTATTGAAATCAGCACGACACCTTGCCCACTCATCCTGTTTCTGCTTCAAGCGGGTTAATATGACTGGCAAAGCTAAAGATGCATTCTTCTTTAGCACATCCATTACATCAAGTCCATGATCACCATATAATCGTTCAATGCACCTAAGATTTAATGCTAAAGGAAAACAGCAAAAAGTCATATCAGAACATGGAAAACAGCAAGAAATTACTTTGAAAAGCATATATTGACTCCAACAAATTTGATTCAACAATTGGAAAGCAAATAACCTGTTAAGTGCTCCTCAATACGAATTGGACTGTCTCCTTTAATTATATTAGCATTAATTTTTTCTAAGAGCTCTTCAACACGCTTAGTTGCCCCGTTTACAGACTCTAACAACATGTCAAGTTCAAACCTGCCAGCATATATTAAAAAAATATCAGCAATGTGCAAGCCAAAGATAACCAGTGGAAATCACATCCCTGAACATTCCAGTGATATCAAAACTAACCAAAGAGTATAAATATGATCATAACTAATAAAATATACATTAATGCTAGGCTTAAACCTGTCATCTTCGCATCTAAACAAGCTCTCCTCATACTGGTTTTTGCGCATATGTTTAAAGGAATAGTCCTCACTCCCAGAAGTAACAGAAACCCAGTGATCATTCAACACCTCTGCACCAAGTTCTGTTCTCTGGCTGGCTGGCGGTATTAGGTACTGTGTGAACACAACCGGTACATATATATCAGCAAATTATAGATTTCATTAGGAGTTAGGACATTCTAAAATCAAAGATAAGTAAAAATACCATACATTTTTGGGTAGAAGACGGTAACTGGGAGTGCATTGTTCACAGTTAGAAAGATCCAGCTCACTTATAGGTTTTGCTGCATACTTATCTTTGCTGGCAAATAGAGACATCTTAGGAGCTGAAACATCCTTGTTAGTAGTTGCATTAGATTTGTCCCTTTCTCGGCATTCACGGTCCCTTTCTTTCATCCCGTCCTCCCTATCTCGTTCTCGATCCCTGTCCTCTACCTTCATTTGTTTTGGTCCGTGTCCTTCATGCCAAAATGATTCTGATGAAAAAGTTGTAGCAGTCAGATTTTATTGGCGACAACAGGAAGCTTAAAATGTTCATGTGGGCCCATGCTACATAAAAAATAAATGGGTTGTCTATTGCAATATAGCAGAAAAATAGAAAACATATTACTTACTTTTTTTCAGGAGACCAGCAAGGAATCCTTCTGCATGTAAAACTTGATTAGAAAGAGTAAAAAGAAAACATAGAATTTGTGTAAAGTGAGAATTTAGTTCGAAGTTGAACATTACCATTCTTCTCACATTGAGACAAAAATTCATCAAATCCCTCCATAAGATCTGCATATTTTCCCAGTAAATTGCCCACCTGGAAGAAAAAGTCACCAGAAGTTAGCAATTATACATTGTAGACTACTAAGAGAAAAAAATTCACACTGTAAAAAAAATAAAAGACAGTCACATCAAGCTAATAGTGAAACTAAATTGAATTGATTGACCTAAACTATCAACAAAAGATAAGTCCCTTCACAATATTATTTAACATTTCTTATACAACATTCACACTTTACATATCTCAACATGGAGGATGTTGGAGCTTGAGTGTATTTGGAAAGCTCTTCCTAAAACAGATTAATCAATATGTTTAGTCAATGCAAAATCCAATTAAGTCAAAGCTTAGCAAATTATAAAGTTGTAGTAATTTTTGACGTTGAAAATTAATCTACTTTGATGACGCATGGATATGGAGTTGCACCCAAATTATCTGATCTAGGCAGACATGACAGAGATACACAATAGCAGTAAGTAAAAAGCATTTTCCTAGCAAATAATCAAAATTTAAGTCTATGTAAAGGACCAATGGTCGTTTAAGAAATATTTAATGATGAATGGACACCTCTCTTGTATGAAATGTTGTGTCCCAACACTTGGCTAACAGTATCAAACACTTCAATTAGCTGTCAAGTTAAAAAATCCATTCTATTTGCCTATAACCAATTTTTCATTACCTTAGTTCAACATGAAATTATTTATTAAAGGTCAATGCCAGCAAAATTAAATTCAAAATTAAAGGTAAATGTATAAAGCATACCAATGATTGCAATTCATGACGGGCAATTATTTCCTTGCAGTAGATATTTAGGCACTTCAAAAATTCCTGGTAATCCTCGGGATTTCGTAATTTCTCCTTCACTTTGTCAAGGTAACCAATCACTGGACTATACATACCTGAGTACAAAGTTTTAAATAATAGAATGAATTATAAAAGGAAAATGAAGGAATAAAATGACTACCGTACAAACAATAGACCACTAACAAACATTGGAGAAAAGGATTTTTCTTCTTACAAGTAAAACATGGAAACGATATTACAATTTACATAGCCTAACAAACTTGATATTAAATATATTTTCCTTTATTTTTTCATTGATATATTTTTTTCATTGATATAACTTGTATTATTTATGTTCATAAAAAAATTTTAGTGAGTTTAAACATTCTAAATTTAAAATCAAAAGCATTGGCTTACGCACTTTTCAAAGAACTTTTATCCTCATGAGCATACGAGACAGGATGCATGCCAAAATTTTCGTCAGTATCATGCAATGGTTCAGCACTAGAGTCTCCAGCCATACAACCAGATTTACGCTTGTGAGATAAATTCTCCCTACTACCATCATGATCATAATCTCTATCATCCCTTTCCCGCTGTCTCCTATCTTTCTCTTCTCTACTTTCCTTTTCCTTCTCACCACGCCTCCGCTGATCCTTTTCAACCTTAATTAAACATCTGTCAAGTTCTGGATCAGGATGGTCAACACTGAGGTCACGATCACCATGTGAAGCAATGTTCCTTTCTCTCTGGCATAAATATAAGTTAAATGTCAGCTTCATGACCAGACTATAAAGTCAAAGGGACATAGGCTTACAACAAGATAAACCTTTTCAACATGCATTTGCCTCACTGTTGGCATTGCAGAGCTCCTATCACGAAGCAGAGGATTTCGAGCAGAAGCATAGTGATTAGAGGCTATTCCTGAAGTATCCGGAAGAAAATGAGTAAACTCCTCAAGAAGGTCTGCATGGTCCTGAAAAAGTGCAGCAACCTGGAGAAATCCAATATATGATTAAAATGAATGTCTAAAGGGGAAAAAGAAAAAAATAAGACCAACATATAACAAATGTGCCAAAGTGTAACTTGATATAATAGGCGTAGTATACAATAGAGAGCCCATACCTCCTCGTAAACCTCAGTGATAGACTTGGTTTCCTTTCTGTACATATTTAATATGTCTAGAAATGACTTATAAACACTATCATTGCTTTGAAAGCGAGTCTGCACAAAAAGAACTCAATCAATCAGATTCAAAAGTTTAGCTGTCCATATGAATTGGAAGACATTAATAAAATGTATCAATTATCAACTAATAATGTTTTTACCTTAATCTTGCCCACAAAACTTATGGCTTCTGCAAATTCAACAGGCTTCTTTTGGGGAGGTTGCTCATCTTCCAATGGAAGTGTAATTTCATATCCCTTTGGCAAGAAGGTGTTAAATCCCAAAATTAGATCTTTGTGCCCTTTAAACAGATCCTTCACTCTTGCTATGACACCTGTTGTATCAATTCTACAAAAATAAGAAAATAGAAACAAATCAATTTCAGCTAACAAATTCCAGATCCTAACTCCTAAGAAAATATAACAAATAAAGGAAATGAAAAATCATGGAGTTGGGAGAATGTAGTACAACATGATCAAACCTTTGAGCCTTGAAATCCTTCATTACTTCCAGAAAGTCATCATACTTTTCCCTCTTATCTTGAAACATATCCTTTACTGCTTTGAGATATGCCAAGGCATCATTTGTGGTTAGCCTCTGACCACCACCACTCATCAACTGTGGTTGCCCCGAGCTTTATTACATAAAATTTCAAAATTTATTCAGGCCATTGGAGAAGTTGATGAAGTGTACATTGCAGATTATAACACCATTCAATTTTAAATGTAGCATAAGTGAAGACGATCTACTAACATGATTGAATCTCGATTGCACTCAGACATTTTAAATTGCATTTCCTAGAGCAACTGCTTTGGTTTTACAATTATTTTCTCCTATTATTTTTTTTCATTCTGTTTATCATGTTAACATTCAAAAACGTAGAAAACTCTGGAGAATCTAACTAATATAAGTTTCTACACACAAAATTAACTTGCTGAATAATGCAGGTAACTCAAGATATTACAGATAAATCTTCCAACAAAGACTGTCTCACCAGGTTAAACCTAAATAAGAAAAAAAAAACAATTGACCTTTACCAGACACTATCAGAGCAGGTGAGAAATAGCAAACAACCATAGTAGTGCAATAAAAGTGAAGATGCAATTGTTTCATCAAAGCAGAAACTAAAATTTTGAAAGAGATGAGAACAAATCCAAATAAAAAAAAGAGAGAGAGAAATTGAAGACAAAAGGAAAAGGAAAATAAATTGAACTTACGGTTCTCCTCTAGAAGACACCATAGGCCGTTTGTGTTGTGAACTCATGTAAACATCATCCCTTGACCTCTTCATTCCTATGCATAACAATAAAAAATAAAATCAACAGAGAAAAACCAAAAAACACGATGCTTTCAAACTCACACAGATTGAAAATCGTAGAAACCCAACTTTCACATTCGAACAAAAGAAAACAGCAGGAAGCAGATCTAACCGCAGGGAATTCACAAAAGCCTGAAACAAAAGCAAGATTTCCAGCCCCGAATTGCACACAGATCACCCCCGCAGAGCCTAATCCTAACAAAGAGAAACAAGAAAGCAAATTTTGCATTACTTCAATGAAAAGCAACGTGGCGATAATTTGCAGCAGGAAGAGAGGATTCAAACAAAAATTTACAGAGTGATTGTGAAGTGCGCGAACTCCAGAGTCCTCAGCAACAAGCTTTACAACAAACAGACGAAGCACACAAAATGATAGATAAATAAGAAAAAACGTAAAGGAAAAAAAATTGAAAATTAGAGAAATATTGAATCTTCGAGTAACAGATAGAGGGAAGAATCACAAACATAAGCGAGAACACAAACCTTCAGCAGCTGAGTTTCTCACTTCAAAAAAATTGAAGAAAAAAAATTCCCTTTATTTTTCAGGGTGAAGAAACAGAATGCGGAATGAATAACATACAAAGGGTGAAGGTAAGGGAGTTCACAATGTGATATATGCGTATATTTATATGGGACGAGAATGCGATATACAACATAACACACAAACACTCCCCAAACAAATATTTGAGAACTATATTTTGGGCTGTGGTGGCAAATACATTTTATTTTATTTTATTTTCAACTTTAAATTATTATTATTATTATTATTATTATTATTATTATTATTATTATTATTATTGAATTTTTGGGATATGCTTAACCGCGTATTATATTTCACTCTCGAGAATATAAATGAATTCATTCAATAAAAATTAAGACGTGAAACATTTAAATATATGTTTAATTTGAATTTTTCCTGGTAAAAAATATTTTGGTACAAGATTTATTTATCTATTAAAATATTTGATCTAATTTTGGTTTATTAACTTTTCTATTGTTGTGAATTTAAATTAGGGCTAAACAATATTCTTTAAGGATTGCAATTTGGGCACAGGAATGGATGATGATTTTGTTAGTTACCACAAAAAGATTAAAAAGAGGAATATTGAGAGTGCTTGTTGCAAATTAGGTTTACAAGTTTTGGGATTAGGGTTTTGTCTGGGTGTGATTTCAGTAATGGGCTGTGAAAGTAATTTCAACCGGCGTAGTTTTACTTATCTTATCTTATCTTTGTAAATAATTTTTATATCTATATACGATATCTGACGTTAATAAAATGGATAAAATATATTTTAAATATATTGTAATATTTTTGAAAGACTATGATATGTTTTCAGTTTTGTAGATATGTTATGATTCGTTTTTATTTCTAAAAAAATCATTTTCACATTTTAACTTTTTTTTCTAATCTAATAATTAATTTATAGCTTGTGTGAAGCATAAACAATATTAAATAATATAATTAGTCTAATAAAAATATTTTATATTAAAATTATTATGCTAATCTTTATAATTTTGGTTTAGTTAAACAATGTATTTATTATTTAATATAAATAAAATAATTACACTCTATTTTTCTCATTCAGTTTAACAATTTACTTTTAATGTTATATTTTTATTAAAAAAAAATTAAATTACTATAATATATTTTATGTATATCTTTCAATATTATTATAATTTAAAATGAGTGTGATATAACTGATTTCCAAAGAAAAAAATCATAAAATAATAAGATATACTTATAGTTCTATAAGTAACGACTATAATATATTTAAATCTTATATCATATAAAATAATCATTAACATTCTTTTTATGCCTTTACACATATCAAAATTAATATAAAATTATTTTATTTATAATATCTTAATTTTTTTGTTATTAATCATTCTTTACGTACAGATGATAAAAAAATCTGATTATAAAATAAATATTATTTATGATTACTTTTGTAAATAATATTTTGCAATAAAAAACTAATAATATTTTAAAATAATATTAAAGTTATTAATTACCCTAGACTAAAAATAAAAAAAATTATATATGACTATCTTATTAATAAAATATAGTAAATACATTTTTCATTAATTGCATATTTAAATAATTTAATTGTCCGGATTTAAAACATTTTCTATTATTTTAACTATCCTAATTTACATTTTGTATTTTTAATTAACTAAGATGATAGGTGTAGAATAAAAAATCCATATTTCTATTAATAAACGAATACTATATTATATATTGTCAGATGAAAACGCGTATTAGAATAAAAATATAGTAGTTTAATATATTACTATATAATATAAAATTATTATTAATTATTAATATGTATGTGAATGACATCGAAAATGATATGAAAATTATTATTAATTTTTAATATAAAACTTTTGTATGGGATAATTTTATCCTTAAAAGGTGCTTAGGTTAAAAGAAGAAAATATATATAAATTATTCTTGGTTTCGACTCTTAAGCGATGAAGACTCCTAAGAATATACATTTTATTTTCTTAAAATATATTACATTTCTCTAGATAATAAAACCAATATTTTGAAAAATTACTTTAACTTAGAAAAAATATATTACATTATATATAAAAAATTATTTACACATCTAAAATAAATGGCTTACATTATTTATTTACATGGATAAATTAAACTTAGTTATACATGAGAATATTACATATTTTTATCATATTCAAATATTAAATTATTATAATAAACACGTTTTTTACAACAGCTTAAAAATAATCTACTATATCGGTTTTAGACCTGTCGTTCGTGAAATCGTCATTATATGTGAGAGATACAACGACGGTCTTAACTCATTATTGTATGTCAAGAAATGATTATGATTATTAACAAATAATTGTTGTTGTATGTCAAGAAATGACTATGATTATTAACAAATAATTGTTATTGTATGTAGCATATAACGACGGTCTTATAAATAATTGTTATTGTATCTTGGTATACAACAACGAGTTTGATCATACTCGTCGTTGAATTATTACGTCCAACATGTTTATGATGACAATTATGGTATTAATCATCGTCATATAATTATTTATTATTTTTTAAAATAAGCAATCTTTTGTATGACTCAATATTCATTAATTGCATATTACAATATAAATTTTTAACATATTTATAGACTCAGTACTCGATACTTCCATATTACAATACACATTTTAACATATTTATAGTATATAAACAATTATAAATATATACAATAGTTAATATTTAATATTAATTTGACAAGAATTCTATAAAGTCATTATAAATATTTACAATGTATAAAAATATTTAGTCAATTATCTTAATGTTCAACCAAAAAGTCATGATATACATAATCAAGTTGATGAATTATGTTGTCTATGTGTGTCTAATATATTTTATGACATTTATATTGATGAGAGATGTGTCTATAAAAAACTCCAATATTTTAAATAAATTTTTGTAAGTATAATTATAACCATTTTTTTGTGTATAATAATCTTTAAAGAAATATTTGTCATATCTGATCTCAATCTTTTTCTATTCCTACACAATGGTTGTCATCAATTGCATTATATAATAATTACACTCATATCCTCTAGTTTGTTTATTATATTATTATTCAAAATATAGAAATTAACTTGGTTTGTTAGTAATAAAAATAAACTAAAATAAATATTTGTGATTATACCTTTAGATGCAATCACGTGAATTTTTGTAGTCGTTCATTTGTCCTACCACTTATTATATTATATCCATAAAAAAACACTAATAACATGCATACTTAGTTAAAACAAACTGTAATATAATTATCTATAAAAATAACCAAATTTTGTTACCAATCTATTATTTATTTAAGGAATATAGGTGACTTTTTGTGCAACTAACGAAACCATTCAACTCTGTTATTAATGGTGACTATACATTGAAACATATTGAAATTAGTTTAAATTGGAATTGAGTAAAGAGAATTATAAAGAGAATGTACTTACTCATAAACATATGGTGCAAAACAATTTCTTTATCCAAATAAGAGATTATTTATGATGTATGTTTGTGCTTATGCTTTCTTATTACTCAATGGTTGAATGAGTTGAAGATCTAAAAATTCATAGACCTCATATTTCCCCTCATTCAAGCATAATACCTATTGTGAGAAGAGAAGTCTCACATAAGACAAATCTTACTTTGGTGTTTACTTTTTTTACTATAAAAGGAGCACAATGTTTATCTTGTAAAACACACCAAAATCACTTTCTTTTCTTTTTCTTGCTGCTTTAGTACTTGAGAGATAACATAAGAGAGAAAATTAGTTTCTCTTTTCAGATTCTCTTAGAGTTATTTTTCCTTTATTTTCAAAATAAGGTGTTATTGTTTCCTTCTTGTAAGTAGAGAGAGAAGAGTGGTAATTTTTTTCATTTGTGGAATTACTTTTTTGCCTATTGTCAGTATTTTTTTTATCTTTTTATTTTAGTTGTGTGTGCTTACGCTTTTGTTTGATACGTAACAATGGTATCAGAGCCACTAGGTTATGATATTGACCTTTTGTTGCATAGTCATTAGAATAGTGTTGAAGAAAATTCTTAGTATGTTATATGATTGCAGTTAATCTGATCTTTCATATCATAAAAGAGTTATTTTTGTTACTGGATATTATTTGGTAGTGTGAAAGTACATATCTAGGAAGGTTCTAACAAGGAAAGACTTGGTATTTAAGCGTGCCCATTAGTGATCCACCTCTCTTTCTTAGGAACTTATTTGATGTACTGATTCACGGTCTACTGTTGTTGTTCCAGTAGGCAATACTATTCATAGTGAGGATTGCATATGTCGGTTTGGAACCATGACAACAAAATATGAGATAGAGAAGTTTAATGGGAATAATTTCTCATTGTAAAAATTGAAGATGAAAACAATCTTGAGGAAGGACAATTGTTATTGACGTAATTGCGGAAAGAACCGTGGAACACACAATGAACAATGATGGAAAAAAATGAACGTCAATGTTATTGCGAATTTGTACTTATCAATTGCAGATTTGTTTTATCTAGTGTTGTTGAGAAGACTACTACGAAGGAGATTTGGGATACCCTCATTAAACTATATGAGGTGAATTCTCTTCACACAAGAATATTCTTGAAGAGAAAACTCTATACTCTTCAGATGAGTGAGTCCACATCAATGATAGACCATATAAACCATTTGAATGCCTTGTTTATCAACTATCAATGGAAGAT